GAATTTTAAAAGTAACTCTCAGCGGTTCTACCTTACTATATTTTTATCAGTCTAAGTTCTCTGCCTTTTCTATCTATCTAAAGCTGATGCCAGATAAAACTTTGTAGCTTTGCGTGACATTTATAACTTTGCCAGCAAAGCGCCAGACGCAAAAGGTATGCCACAATGAACGCCAAGAAAACAATGTTGTACCGCTTTTTTACTCATCAAAGTTGCTGTGGATTTTAATTATTTTGATTTAAAATTATCAGCAATGTAATTAAGTTTTATGTTTCTGCATGAAAACCCGAATTTGGACGAAACAAAATAAATATTAAACCGGCTGATTGTCAAAGCGCGCAAAAAGATGGGAGTTGACCATCTTTTCGCTTCGCGCTGCCGCTTCAACGATTTATGTGGCATGCTTTGTGCATTTTCATACAATTCATCTTATCTGTCAAAGCGAATCTGTCACGTAAAGCGAAGCAAAAGTTTTATGTGACATCAGCTTAAGTTCTCNTATTCGTATGTATATGTATACCCTGCATACCAGGATTTCATAGAATTCTGAAAGGTTTCACAATTTTTTAAGAATTTTCTTTAAGAAATGGTACAGAAATTTCTTTACTAGTTCTTGTCAACTGCTTCATATGTTTTTCTTTACAGATTTCTAAAAGAATCGTAACAGATTTCCGACACTCTTAAAGATTTCGGGAGAATTTGTTTGCAGGGTATATATATACGTATATATGTATGTATAAGTGGATAAGTAAATAAAGCAAAACGGACGATAATTTGACACAAGCGTGCTCATAAGAAGAAGCATAGCTTCTATCGCTATCACCTGTAATTGATGCGCCTTGGTTCTCTGTCTGCCATTACTGCGATTACGTTCTTTGGTGGCTTTGGTGGAACGCATTCTTTTCATTCCGTCTCTAGCACGGAAGTAGCATAAAGAAGAAAATGGATGCAATTTTTGAGCGCATGCTTTCGCTAACTAATTTGTTATTTTTCTATGTGGTTTTGCAACCGATTTTTAACATGGCGGCCAGAAAATGACAAAATTTTGATTTCTGTTCAGATTTGCTTTACTAATGAACGAACATGCTATACAAGCCGATCATGCTCGCGCACATGTTCGTCGAGTGTGGGCACTGGAACGTTGTCTGGTATCACTATGAAAATAATTCTACCGGATACTCTGGCATCTCTATAATTCTTCGCCATTCTGAAATTCTGGCATCTTTTAGATGTTTTGTTTTGATTCGTTTTTATGTCCGCTATTCTGGATAGGTGAAAATTAATTTTCCACTTTTTAAGTAGCTTTAAATAAAAACGGATAATAAATTTTTGCTATTCAACTAACCCAAAAAAACAGAGAACCTCAATAAACTTGACATTAAATTTATCCCATTAAAAGAATAGGAGCACAGAAACCATAAGATGCCTCTTACAGCAGAAAATGCAGCTTTGCAAATTCAGGTATGTATATACATATGTTCAAGCATATTTCTCAAAAACACCTTCGGGGTAATTGCACAAAACTATTGTAGGACCGATTGAAAGAATTGCAACGGCTCATTCATCAAATTGATGATGACCGCAGGCGCTCTGAAGCAAACTTGAATAGCACACTCCGCGCACAGCAATCCAATTTCCCACCTCAAAAATTAAAAACGCTGTACAAGACAGGTCTTCAAGATGCTTCTCACGAAGAGGCTACTATACGAGGAGCATTGGAAAAAATACAGGAAATTCGTAATATTCGAAACGAACGGCGTGTTGCGGCTCGAAATGCTGGCAATAAAGAAGCAATACGTCGTGGCGCTCTGATGAAAATGGTTCAAATCTCTGCGCAAACATTGCCGCTTTTTGTGAGTAAACCTGGTGAAAAGGTTCCGCCATTATGTGGCGCTACTCCAGCCGAAAGCAATTATATCGCAAAAGTTGGCGACAACGTCGCGGCTTTAGTAAAAGGCGTAGAAGATGACGAAAATTGGATTCTGGCAGAGGTGGTGCAATTCTTGCATCGTCAAAACAAATACGACGTTATAGATATTGACGAAGAACAAAAGGACCGGCATGTGCTGAGCAAGCGAAAAATCATTCCACTGCCATTGATGCGAGCTAATCCTGAAACGGATGGTCACGCTTTATTTCCAAAGGACACAGTTGGTATGGAATGTATAGAATTATTTTAAACGCTCCATATTTTGACAACTTATTAAAATTTTAGTGATGGCGCTTTATCCACAAACTACTTGTTTTTACAAAGCAATAATTCATCGTTTGCCTCAGACTGCAACAGAGGACTACTTGGTGTTATTTGAGGATTCGTCTTGTACAAACGGTTATGCTGATCCATTACCAGTGGCACAGCGGTATGTTATTGCATACAAACCAACCAAAAAAAGTGGTGGTGCTGGAAGTGGCAGCGTTTCTTCAGCTTAATTGAAAACTCCAAGAATCAGTTCAGTTAAAATTCCTTATTTATATAAAACTACATCTTAAATCTATGCAATTAATTTCACATTTCAACTATAGATGGTCTCCATCATCACTTTCTTCATTTTCAGTATTATCTTGTTCCATGCCTTCGTCTTCTACCTCATCGCCTTGGCCACTGTCAGTTTTGTCATCGTCGTCATTAATATCGTCATGTACATGCAATTCGAAACCAGTCTCTTTTGTCCAAGAACACTTAATTGTGAGCTGAAATTTAGCCATGGGTTTCGCAAGTAATTTCAAAATGCGGGCTTGCTCCGGCGTTAAAACCTTTCCTTCCTCGCACACAGTATAGTCACTATAGAGCGTTACTACACCTTTCTGGAGTTTTGTTGGCATTCCTAGGGATCGTAGATGCGGTTCTATGGAATGTGTGAATTCTTCAAGTGGGCCCGCCGACAAAACTACTGTTTCTGTTGCCTTAAAACCACTGCGCGCATATTCTACAGCCCAATATTTTTCGGCCCAATCAAGAACTTCTTTCTTCGGCTTTTCTGTAAATAAAAGACCTACTTGTCCTGTTAAGCGTTTAGAAAGCTGAAATATCAAGTAAGATAGTTAAAAATTCAATTTGTCAATATCACTTATGTATGTATTTTTACCTTATGGAGATCTACTTCAACTTCTTCTGCTTTGTTGCGTCCTAAACCAATTTGCATGATTCGATTTTTGCCAAAGAAGAAGCGTGAATTGGCTTTCCATTCCTGGCGTAGATCCTTTAAAAGATTATTTCGCATGTTTTGAACTTGAAAAACGAAAACATTTGGATATTTTCCAACACAGTGACGAATATCTTCAATGATTTTTTGCTTCCATGCCAGGCCTTTGCGATCCGTTTTGGTCAACGAAACTGTTTCCAACGAAAATCGTAAACAATATAAAAAATGCTGATAAGTTGATACTAAGGAAGTTCTAATAATATGAACTTACCTTTTTTGTCTCTCTTGGAACGTGGCATTACAAAAGTAGGTTTGTATTTCGTTAAAATATATATATTTTTTCAATATTTAGTGCTTTATGTCT